GCATTCTGCATTCTGTCTCTATGACTTTGACTCCTCCAGACACCGCAAATAAGTAGAATCATACAATATTTATCCTTTTGGAACTGGCTTATTTCACTTAGTATAATGCCTTCAAGTTTCAGTGTAGCATGTGTTAGAATTTCATGCCTTTTAAAGACTGAATAATATTCCATTGTTTGTATACACATTTTGTTACCTGTTTGTCTGTCGATGGACACAGGTTGCTTTTTGGCTGTTGTGAGTAATGATGCTATGAACACGGGTGTACAAATCTCTTTTCAAATCCCTGCTGTCATTCCTCTTGGGTATAAACCCAGAACTGAAAGTGTTGGGTCATATGGCCCCTGACTTTTTAATTCTCACTCTTCTCCTTTGGGGTACCATGCCAGTTTGCATTCCCGTATTGGAGGAGTTTATCAGTCAGTCACATACCAGATTTCTTTTCTTCTCTGTTTCATAGATAAAAATGCTGGTACCTCTTTTCAAAGAGGGGAGATGGGGTCCTTCTCCTCAGCTGGCACAGAGTCAGCCTGTGCTGTCCCACCAGGATGACTCACCTGCAAGATCCACTCACCGGTTCCACAGGCTCCTCCGAGGACCGGGAGTTGTTCTGAAGCCCTGTTCATTTATTTTTTCATTTTTCAGTTTTATTAGGTAGAACTGTTATGATTTGACTGCACATATACAACATATTGCATGTAAATATGTATACACAATATACTGCACATATTTTTTAAAATTTACATATATGTACTGTTCATTGTTACTGAGAATGTTTAGAGCTTTAGCTTTTTAAACTTACATAGTTATCAAAGGGATAAAGCCAACCACAAAATAAGAATTAATTCAAAAAGATATATACATCCCACTATTAACAGCAACATTCCTTATAATTGCCAAGATATGGGAGCATCCTAAGTGCACATCAGTAGATGAATGGATAAAGAAGAGGCAGCATATATATGTAATGGACTTCAACTCAGCCGTTTGTGGCCCTGAACCACTGTTCATTTGAGAGGGGAGCATCCTTTCAGCAAGCCACCAGAAACACTTCCACAAGAACTACCCTCAACTACTCTAGGAGTAAGGAAGTAACTAGGAGGCCTTCTACCTCTCCCTGAAAACTCACTGCCATTTAACAGTGCTACCAATGGTAT